TACGATGCAAAGCAACCTTTCTCAATTAATCCTGTGAGGCTGAGGGGGGGGGGAGGGGGGGGGGGGAAGGGGGTGGGGAGGAGGGGAGGCTGAGGCAGGCAGGCTGAGGCCGAGGCAGGCTGCTGAGGCGAGGCAGGCTGAGGCTGAGGCTGAGGCTGAGGCTGAGGCTGAGGCTGAGGCTGAGGCTGACGCAGGCTGAGGCCGAGGCAGGCTGAGGCTGAGGCTGAGGCAGGCTGAGGCTGAGGCCGAGGCAGGCTGAGGCTGAGGCTGAAGCAAGCCGAGGCAGGCTGAGGCTGAGGCTGAAACTGAGGCAGGCTGAGGCATCTTAGGAGTCCATAGGAATCCATAGGAATCCCTAGGAATCCTTAGGAATCCGTAGGCATCCTTAGGAGTCCGTAGGCATAGTTAAGCATCCTCAGGAATCCTTTGGAATCCTTAGGATTCCCTAGGAATCCTTAGGAATCCCCAGGAATCCCTAGGAATCAGGATTCCCAAGGATTCCTAAGGTTTTCCCAGGATTCCTATGGATTCCTAAGGATGCCTAAGGATGCCTGAGGAATTCGTAGGAATCTTTAGGATTCCATTGGATCCTAAGGCCGTTGCCACTGCGACTGTCATTGCGAATGCGACTGCGACTGCGAGAACAGCAGAATTCTACAACTGGATTCTCACCTGAATCTTAAGGGGAATGCTTCCAGATATGCTTATAGACGTCGCGTTAGGTTGCTTTACCGGGGTAATTGCAATTGAAATGCCCCCTCTCGGAGCTCGCACCCTGTTTTCAACCAGGGGAAAGATTCCTGCTCAAACTATGCCCCTGGCCCCCCAGCTACAACAACAACGGTTCACTTCCTGACCATGTATTCCAAAATCGCGCTCTCGCGCAGGATTTCAATTTATACAAGAGCCGCGCTTTCGCGTGGGACGTCCTTGCAATGTAGTCAGACGCCGCGCCGTCGACGCTCAGGAATCACGCTCTCGCTCTGGCATATCTACTGATTAACTTGGAAACCGCGGTATCGCTCGAGATTTCCTCGCGATTCATGCAGGACTTACGCTTGCAACCCGCCTGTTCGACCTGGCCGCCTGGGCCCGCCTTCCCGACACGCCCGCTAGGGTCTGCCCGCCCGATCTGCCCGTCTGGTTCCACCACGTGTTTTATGCTCTTCACCCCCTCTCCTGCTAGTTCTTAGTGTTTTTGTTTTTCTTCCCCCTTCCATCCATCCTCTCTTCCCTTGTTTTAGGGGCTGCGCTACATGTGCGCGGCAGGTCAGGAACGTATACCCCCAGTGGAGCACGATCGACGAAGAAGAAGAAGAAGAAGAAGAAGACGAAGGCGGGTATCGACGGCTTGGGATAGAAGGGTTGAATGGCACGCGAGCAGATAGGAACGACCAATCTCAAAATTATTGATGCTGTTGTGTATGTTGTCGTCCAACTCGCGACCCGCGACCCAACCACGACCCACCCGCGACCCACCCGCGACCCACCCGCGACCTACCCGCGATCCACCCGCGACCCAAACGCGACCCATCCGTGACCCACCCGCGACCCACCCACGACCCACCCGCGACCCGCCGGCGACCCACCCGTGACCCACCGGCGACCCAACCGCGACCCACCCGCAAACCCATCCCGCGACCCAATCCGCGCCCGCCCCGCGACACGCCCGCGACCCAATCCGCGCCCGCCCCCTGACAATTTAATGGCGACTGCGGGGTGCTGCATAATTATGTTAATGCCGTTGCAAATGTCCCGCAAGTGCATTGTCTTCCGCCGCCCGGCATTGAGCCACGCCCAGTGTCTGTGTTCCGGCGCGCTTGCATTCGCGAGGCAGTATCTCACAGTTTTCCTTGGCCTTCGCCTCGTGTGGATGTTCTGCCGATGCGCCGTCTGGGCGCGGCTTCTTGCGTGCGTGCGTGCGTGCGCTCCTCCCCTCCTTTTCTCCCTTTCCTCGGCTACACGTAAGAGTGACCCTGGGTAAGAGTGACCTTTGGTGCGTGGCTTTTGGGGGGCCGCGGGGAGGCCAAATCTAGGCGCGCTAGCCGCTGCTACCGCTTCGCGTTCGGCCATCTGGGGGCCCATTAGTGCCCGCACGAAAGGTCACTCCGGCGAAAGGTCAGGGGGACAACACGGGGCGAGTGGCTCGCGGAGGGAGGCACCGAGCTGGAAACGGCGACACGTCGCCGTTTCCAGATCGGCGCTGGGCCTCCGACAGGCACGCCGGACGTTCCTGGGAGGGGCGGGGCTGTCGGGCACGCGCCGGCGATGAGTGTAAAATGACGCGAAGATCGGAACAAAATCGGATCGGGATAACTCAAAATCTCTGAGAATCGGCGGGCTTGGAGGATGTATTGGGCGCCGCGGCCGCTCCAGAGCGTTCCGGAACGCTCTGAGAGCGCTCCGGAACGCTCTGGAGCGATTCATCCCGATCCTAGCCCTGTTTTAGAGTGTGCGGCTTGGGGTTGACGCATCCCCCCCTGGGCGCACTCCCCCCTGACAGAAGGCCCCCCCGCTCTGGGGAAACCGCCGAAGTACGAATACCCGCCACTCCCCCAAACTCCCCGGGGGGGGTGCGTGCCGACCGGGATATTCCGGAGCGAGTCCGGCGGCGGCGGCGATGGCCTCCCAGGGAACCCAAGCGAGGGGGAAACGTAAGCAGCACCTCCTCAACTTGGCACCATGCGCCCGGAGTCCAAGAATGCGGTTGCGCCGTCAGAAATAGGGGGAAAACAAACCTACCTCGCTTTTGACCACCCTCGCTTCCAAGAGATACCAGACGATGCCAAATTGCAGCCTGTACTGGTCAGGCCGCTTGACGAGGGGGCGCGTGGTATGGCTTGGTTTTGCCTGGAAGCGAAAGCGGGGTAGGTAATTCACGCTCTGAAGAAAGGTCAAACTGCCCGGCTATTCGCCAGCGTCGCAGCGCGAGCCCCCGCATCTCCTATTCGGACAGCGGGGCGTGCCGACCAGAAACGCGGGCAAGGCAGAGGGACAAAAGCAGGCAGGGCAGCGAGGAGGAGCCCAGGAGCGAGAGGGGAGGGGGCAGAGGGAGGGAGGACGACGGCAAAGGGGAGGGAAATTCAGACCTCCCCCGTGGGAGATTCCTCCACAACATCATCGCCCCCAGACCCCCCAGGCCCTCCAGGATAGCCCCTTTCTTACGAAATCTGGAGTACCTCTCCCTCCACTGCAGGCCCCTCCCCTCTGCGAAGCCAGGGGAGGCGGCGGCGGCGGCCTCCCCGGCGGACTGCTCGCAGAGCCTGGGCGGGCGGCCCCCCGCCGCTGCCAGCCGGCCCCCCCCCCCCCGCCCCGCCCCGCCCGATGCGACGAAGGCAGGCGCCTCCGCCTCCGCCTGCTTCTCGTTACCTCATGGCGTGCGGCGGCTTCGCGCGCCGCCGCTTCCCCGAGGGCGGGGGGGGGCGGGGCCGAGCGGCCACCCGTGGGGGGGAGCGGAACTGCGCGCGAGAGCGCACGGGCAGGAGGTCCGACGGACAGGGCGGAGAGGGGGAGGGGTGGGGTGGGGTGGGGGGGTAGAGTGGGGGGGGCAGAAAAACCGCATCCATTATAGCCTATAGCCCCCCCCCCCACAGAGGGTGAAAGCGAAAAGAGACAGGGGTGGCGCGGCGGATGCGCGGCGACGGCGGGCGCGAAGCGCAGGGCACGGATGGATCCGGTGAGCCGTGGACGAGCGCGGCGGCTCGCTTTGGCGAGCCGTGGCCGCGGCGGCTCGGGGGCGAGCGACGCGAGAGGTCAGCTGGAAGGGGGCGGAGGGCGCACGCCGCCGAGCTCGGGTGGCCCGTCGCCGCGGGTCAGCGCGGCCGACCCAGCCGTCGCACTCGCAGGGAGTGGCCGCGGCCACCCTCGCCGGGGCGGATGGCACACGGGCCTCACCCCCTGCGCACAGGACCCCCGGGAAGCGGCCGCCATCCTCCCCATGACTGGTACCCCCCCTGCGACGCCACCTCGACGAACCCCCCCCGCCCCCTACATTTCAATGTTGGCATCTAGCGAGAACCCCAAGTCCGGGGGGACAAAATAATGCAAGTCAGCATTGAAATGTGGGGAGTGGGGAATTCCTCAGAGATCGATGGAATCTGATCCAAGTCGGCACGCTGCTTCTCAGAACGATCGATATTTTGTCCGCCCACTGTGCCTTCCCCTTGCAGGTGGAATCTCGATCTCCCCCGTACTGCCTTCGAGCCGTCCTGCCCCAGCCCTCGGCGTAGGGGAGGCACACCTCGCCAATCCCTATCACCCTCGCCCCCCTGCTCTACAGGGGCCTGGTGAAGGAGGAGGAGTAGGAGGAGAACGAGGAGGAGGAGGAGGAGGAGGAGGAGGAGGAGAAGGAGGAGGAGGAGGAGGAGGAGAACGAGGAGGAGAACGAGGAGGAGAACGAGGAGGAGGGGGAGGAACGCACGCCAGCTAGCCGAGGAGGAAGAGGACGACGAGGAGGAGTAAGAGGAGGAGGAGGACGAGGAGATGGAGGAAGGGGAGGGGGATGAGGAGGAGCAGGAAAGAAGCGTGAGAAGGCCAAAGGGGGCGAGTTCGATCCAGCCACCACGACGGGCCAGACGCGAGGAGGGTCCCTGCGAGGAAGAGGAGGACTTGCGCTCCACGCCGTAGCGCCCGCGGCTCGTCCAAGAGAAAGGGCGAGTCCTGGTGGGGGGAGGAGGAAGATACGCCCGCTTCGTACCTGGCAAGGGAACCTGCCAAGGGCATATACCTCAGGGAGAAGCCTCAGGGCACAGGACGAGCAGAAAGCATCGACAGGTCCTTGACCCACCTACATGTAGCACGACATGCCACGTTATGTAAACATGAAGTTAGCAGCACGTGAAACTACTGTTCTCTGTTCTGAGTGGTCATGTAGCACTGGCTGTCGTCTACCAACTGCCACACATACCGCACATGACTCAAGGCAATTATACATTCATACCACACGCATGCCGACACGCATCTACTTTGATTGACTTGCAAAGACAGACGCACTGACAATGATAGAAGTACAAGAGGGTTGCACACTGCACCGTACCCAGTTCCATGGCTGACACTTGACGAGTCCTATCTGGAAACACAGGAGCACAACACTACGCCACAGCAACATCACAACCTGCACACAGCATCAACATGCCCACCAACAATACCGACAAAGACACCACCTATTCACTATAGACCTGACTCGCACCGTCTCACCGCTAGACAGCCCGCCTCATGCCTGGCATGGGAGCCTCATCGGGCATACCTCAGGAAGAGGCCGAAGGGCCAGCCAGTTCATGGGGTACTACAGTGTCACAGTGTGTTTGTTTCTACCTCCCGCCCAATACCTAGCACAGGAGCCCGCAGGGGCATGCCTCAGGGATAAACTACAGGGGCGTAGAACTACACAGTAGACAAAATGATATTACCCTGCGACGGTACAGATCCCTGCAGCGACGTTTGTCCGCTTCATACATGGCACGGGAGCCTCATGATGCATGCCTCATGGAGAAACAACTCGGGCAGTATTCGCACCGCCGAATCAGACACGACGACATATCACCCTTCAGTAAGGACCCACCATAAACGCGGAGCCAATGGAAAGGAGCGCCAGGCATCGAGATAACATACATCGCCATCTAAATCTTTACTAGCATACTGTACGCAACGCAACGATTCTCAGCATGACGCAGTGCCACAACATTATTAGCTCAAGCGATGACCTATTTGGAACCACTTCTCGGTACCTACATATTGCGCTCACAAACATGCACCATGACATCCATATTTCCTATACTGCTACACAAGAATACGCTTTTGCAGTACAATATGATGAAAGGTCGAACCCACCGCGCTTCGCCTTTGCACCTGCAATTGAAATATACGTGACATACTCCGAGAAAGGCGACGACCAACTCACGCGTGAACGAAACATTATACTTGAGTAACAATACCACACAACCTCCAACCACTACGAAGACGACGGCAACGACGATCTTTCACCACGTCTCACAAGCAAACAGAAGACACCCATCTACGAGCCACTACAACGAACTGCGACAACAGACCACTGCGGCCAAAAAACAGCATCCACGCTCACAGCACAACTACAAAGGAGGAACCAAGTCGACGTCACCATGGCCAACCTCGGCAAGAACTTCGTCGACATTTCTTTGCACTTGGGGCATGAATGTATACCGGTTCCCACCGAGCGGGGGTGGGCATACACAGCCAAACACAACCACATCACAGTAGCTCACCTGACAAACATCAACCCTGGCTACTTCCAACGACCGAAGACCGGACTCGAAGACGCACTCAACAAATGGAAGGCCATGACCTCACGCGACAGCAAATACAGCCATTTGGCACAGCGACCGTACCCATTCTAACGCCGTGCAGACGACAGGCGAGACTGGCGCCCATTCATACAGAACAATACTGAGGACCACGACCTAAAACGACAGGTCATAGTAGGACTTCCATGGAACGACATCGACAACGCCATGGCACGGCGCTGGCAGCCACTCTATAACAAAGATGGCACTGAGAAGAACCCAGAAGAGACCGTAGACAAACTATCACATCAGCAACACACAAAGCGATACTAATTCTCGCAAGACGAGAACAGCGCCATACGCACCAAGTACGAGACTACGAATACCACATACATCTGCTCAATGACAAACTGTGGAAACAACATATTACCCCTGATTCATAACAATGAGAATAACACATGACAGCAACAGACTGCAACTACGACTGAAAATAACACATACATCTGCCCAACATATTTTTCACTCGCCAACTTACTTGCACGCGTAATCCACAAGTCGGGTGCAGCAGCACTCCGCCCACAAGGGGCTACATCAGTCGTCGACAAGTTCCACGGGCACAATGCGCCACCAACGACACATGATCAATCCAACTACGTCAAGCTACAAGAGGTAGACGACTACATCGCGGTGGCGCTCGATGCTTGGACAGGCACGGCAAGAGATCCACCGCCACTGGCACTACGAAAGCCGCAACCCCACCGACACACTACGAGCTCTTAGCACCAACTCTTGGCAAACCTGCCTGGCGTCCAACCATTGGAGGGCTCGCGCCCCTGCCGGCAATCAACTTGCACCCACAATATCACATGCGACCCGTGCTCGGCGGATCGATTCAGGCCGTGCTTGCGCCGCGCGCGCCGCGCCCACGAGGCGCGACCTCTGCTGTGGGCCGCCCAAAACGGCAAGAGGCGTAATGACTTGCATCGACAGACCCACCTACACTACGACTGGAAGCAGCAACAGCTTGAGCAGAGAGAGGGATCGCATAGCATAGAATACGACTACGAGGTGGAACACAGCACAGCACAGCTTGAGCATCGATAGACCCACAACAACTACGACAAGTTCCGCAAATACTGCTCAGGTCACGCATTACTCACAGCACCGCGCCAATTCATGCCTCGGCTCGAATTTGAAACCAAACGAGAGCACCAGCAAGGTCGGCCACCAGGGCCACGCGCACACGCGCCGACGCCGACGCCCAAACCTACGTTGCCAACACTTGCAGCAGCTCCAACCCGCGTGCGACGACGGACCGCCATTGTCCAACCCACGGGGCGACGAAGGCCGCGACGCCGTACTGCCTCGGGGATGGACAGAACCCCCATGTAGTGAAACGCGGTTTAGTGAAAACGACCTCAGGCCAAAATGACGCCGCGGCGCCCTCTCGAGAACCGAAAGCAGACAATTCACGAATCGACGTGTCAGGGCGGGGATGGACAGAACCCCCTGTAGTAAAACGCAGTTCAGTGAAAACGACGGAGTTGGCTTCAGAGCTTCCGCGCCTCGCGCAGCTTCCGCCCGGCCTCCGTGCCTCGGCTCCGTGAGGCGCGGCAGCCGCCGGCCCTCTTCGGCTCGGTCCTCGGTCCTCGTCCTCCTCCTCCTCCTCCTCCTCGTCCTCCTCGTCCTCCTCCTCCTCCTTTGATCTGCAAGGCGAACTGTGCCTTGGCGGGCGCAAGCCTGGAAAATGACGGCCGCGGCGCCCTCTCGAGAACCGAAAGCGGACAATGCACGAATCGACGTGTCGGGGCGGGGCTCCTGCCCACCCCCGACTACCCACAGCCACGGACGGCTCTCAAGAAGACGAAGGCAGCTGCACGGGCCACAGCGGAGGCGACCACCGAGTACGCTCTCCCCCGCCCGCCCCCTCCTTCTCACGCGCCTACCACCGCGAGGGGCGCGACGTACACTGCCCGCCAGGCCGGGCAAACTACAGCGCCAGGGACAAAATCGAAGACGACGAAAGGCGACGAGGACAACTGGCACTACGCCGTGTGCTTCAACGCAATTGAAACACACATGCGTCTACCGCTTCCCAGACGATCACCTGTTGTCACCAGGTTGGCACATATACTTCGACAAGCACAACAGTGAGTACTTCATCAGCAACGGGCATCACCAAATCCTACATCATCCTCCGCTCAGGCCCGACTCGCATGCGACTCGACTCTCAACGTCCAAGCCCCAGCCGACCGAGGCGACCACATACTTTATACTTAACGACGCAATGCCAGCAGCCTCACACCTCCCGCCATGGTGACCACGACCACATAACCAACCACGTCTACGTCTAGGTTACGGCATGCAGGACTTCGCAGAGTGCCACTCACTCAACGAAGACTTCAGGCTAGCAGTCAACATCGCCAACTGACATCTTGCCTCCCTGATCCAAGCACCCACGACAAGGTTGAACGACATTGCAAAGCAAACCATAAACATGGAATCGCAAAGGCTATTCCCTCGCCACGAAAACGACGACACAATGCAATACGACTGGGCAATGCGCATGCACAACACCGCACGGATGTTGCAACAAATGTGCAAACCGACCGGCCTGCCACACAACGACCGCAACATCCTCGCAACGACATCGAGATCTTACAGAGGCGGCAGTTCTACTGAAGACACACCACGGCCAGCACAACAAGCAGCTGCAGCGTCGCAACCAGAAGCCACTACCACGCATGATCAGCAACCGACAAGTGCAAACGCATCCACCACTCAGCAGCCCAGGACTACACGAGTGATCAGAACAACGACCCGCCCGCATCAACCAAGTCAGAGGATCCCAAATATCTGTCCACCTCCCAAGGTGCACGGGCACAACGACGGCTCGCCGAAACATCAACATCGGAGCTGGCACCGCAAACGTTTGCAACCAGGCAGATCTACTTCCGACCAAACGCGCCACCGATCCACTCCCAAGATGAACAAACAGGATCTACCCCAATGCCAGCATAAACAGAGCATCTCGAAACGCACCACGTCGAAGACGGCAGCGATCAGATGTTCTTGCAGCACCTGGAGACAATTCGGCATTACCAGCAGCAGTACCGACAAAATTTGGTAGAAGTACGACAGCGCAACCTACGCAATGCAGAACTACGATAGCGACAGGGGATAACAACTGCAGTGGAAGCACCAACCACGCCCGAGCCCAAGTTCCCAGTAACTGAGCACAAAGCGCCACCAACGCAGAGACCAAGGTTCCCCGCCGTACAAGCTGACGGCAGCGACTACTGGGCGTAGCACAAGATCCCCACGCGGAGTAACCTCACCGTCGCAAACACGGTACAAGACAAGTGGAGTGGAACAGCAGCCTACAGCAACACATTTACCACAACGGCCGGGGCATCAGCACGGCGGGTGTCAACAATTATGTTCAAAATGGCCTGTGAGTGTCTACGACATCGCGTCTTCCACAACTACGGCTTTCAAAACATCAATTACCGCGCGGCGAGGACTTCTGAAGGCCGCTCTCAACTTGCTCATTCCTTCACTTCTTTTTTACCGTGTTCGTATATCTGCTACTTGTGATAGGGTGGGCAAATTCATTCGGTGCTGGAGGGGTTAGTCAGCAGTGCGTACGTCCTACTCGCAGCATTTAGACGGCTCCACCTGCCTCGTCCTTGCGACCGCCGTCTCGGCCGTTTCGTCTCTCCCTCTTCTCTCGCCAGCCCTCTCCACTCGCCCCAGGGGTGGTGCCTCGCTGTTGGCTGGTGAACGGTGATATCCCGTACTTCCGCTCGGGGACGCATGGGCGTTTGGCGGTTGCCTCCTTCGGCTTGCTACCTCCCCTGCCCCCCCACCCCCTTCTCGCTCGTCGTTGATGCTGGCTGGTGAGCTGCCAATTTGATCCGCCAATTTACCAGCTGCGTAAACAGCGGCTACAGCGGCCCTTAATTTGCAGCGCACTCGCACGGTAGACTAACACATGTGTTGGGGTGGGGGGGTCTCGGGAGATTTGGAGCGCCAGAAAGGGATGGGGGGGCATATTCACGCCGCACTCTCTGCTGCCACGACTTGCCGGGCTCCTCCACGCAGCCAGAAACCCTTCTTCCATTGCCATTAACTGTACTTCAGTCGCGTGCACACTACCTTTAGGCCCCCCTGGACACAAGGAGTAGCCCCCCCTTTAACCGATGCGGGTGTCAGCCCATGGCATGCCACCCTACCGTCAGAGCTGGCACACACACGCGCCTTCAGGCATCCAGCCGCTGCCGTCTTCGTGCGTTTCAGCATGGCCAGCGCAGCCAAGCCCACGATGGCTGCCTGGCCAGCCTACAAATGTTTTCAGTGCCAAACAATGCCAGCACATCCAGCATGCCCGTACCAATAATGCACCTCATCCCGCTCTCTACCTCCCACGTCCCTTCATATCAACTCTACAGGGCTTCCCAGCACAGCCCCAGCCTCCTACGATCCACTGCCATCGGCCAGGGAAAGCCAGCCCAGCAGTCTGATACTTATGTGGGGAGATAGAGGCGTGTGATGCTCTTGACCACTTTGCCACTCTACTAGGGAGGGGAAGGAGGCGGGCGGTGGTTGGAGCTTGTGGTGGGGGGCGGGCCGAGGACCCATGCCAACTTCTATTCCCAGCTGCTTACACAGCGGCTACAACGCGACCCACCTTGCAGCGCTCTCGATTTGCAGGCCAAAAAAACGTTAGTCTAAGGCTATCGCAGTTGCCAGCCTTTTGTTCTCTACCCTCAGATGCTTGACGTCAGTGGATATGCCCAGATTGCAAGGCACCCTTTAACAAACAGGATGGAATAGAGTTTGTGTGCACGGCCAGTTTGGCATGTCGGTAGGGGGCGAATCTCCAAGACAAGTCCCACTGTGGACTACGGACACCGGCAAACTCATTTAATACCAACAGGTTTGCTACACTTGATCTCTGCTGCTAGTTATATGCACACACTGTCGATGAAAAGCCTGTATATCCAGACGTGCTTTCTTCTGGGATGGTGGTGGGCATGAGACTTGGGTGGTGGCGGGGCGACATCTACTGGCTAGAAACAAAGCAGTAAGCATTCCTGGCCCCCCTGGACAGCAGAAAGATGGCTCTAAAACAATTCATCCTCACAATCACCGAGTGTTTAATAACCAACTGGACCAGCCAGTGCCAGCGCCAGCCTCATACTTGACACATTGCAGGCCCGCACACGTTACGATACAACTTTAACCAGCCAGTCCCGCCTGAGGCAGCCACTATGCATAGACATCCGCAGAGGATGACTAAGCTTAGAATTCCTGCACGCTGTCCCTTCTCGCACGGCTGTCCCGGAAATTCAAGTTGCCATCACTGGTGGCAATACGAGGGGAGGCTACGAGGTTGCTTGGAGGTTGTTGGGAGGTTGTGGTGGAGGATCAGCCATTCAAGTTTAACCTCTGGCTGGGCCAGCCAGAACCACCTGGCCAGCCTACTAGGCTAGCAATGCCTTCAGCCACGACAGCACATCCAGCATGCCCGTACTGGAACACCTCATCCTATCCTCTCGATCCGCAGCGTTTACTCTCTGTGCGTTATGCTCCCAGCTTGCACTTGCATCGGACGTCGCCTGTCTCCATGTTCTACCACGCTGCCAGCATCTTGACCGAGAGAGGACTTGCTGGTGGCTTAGGTGAGAAGATCTGTGTGGGGGGTTTGGGAGGACTCCGGCGGCAGCGTCCGTGATCTCGTCACGGCGCCGCTAACTGTGCTTCTTGTAAGTTAGCGCTGCTCGCCTGGACCCACAAAGATAGGGAGGTACAGTGCGGGGGCACGGCCGCAAGAAACCCTCGCAAGAAACCCAACTCTGAGAGCCCGTGCGCGAGGTGCACCGGAGGGGAAACCTGGAGCACCCTGAACGCAGCAGCTCCTTCGACGGCTGCGGGAAATCACCGCGCAGCGCGAGGAGCGAAGGAACCCAGGATACCCTAACGAGAAGCATTTGGCTTCTTGATGCGCGCCCCCACTGTATGTGTGGGGAGGCTTCCATCACCGTGGGCAGGGTACCAAGGCAACACCAGGCTTGCAGCACCTTTCACCGCCTGGCGGGCGCATACTCTAAGGCCCTGTACTTTTCTGTTGCCGTTGCACTGCCTACTCCGCAGCGCCCGCCAGGCTGATGCGATTTCCTCTCGCTGAGTCGGCGCATTCCTTTCTTCCTGCATCCAATTACGCAAAAAACTCGCGCCTCATGTATGGCCAACGTCAAAAAGAAGGCTAATCCGCGATTGGGGCCTTGGAAGAAATCCCTCGCATCCAGCGAACCGACTACTTAGTAATCGGGTCCTTCGGGCTCATCACTCCTTACCTGATGGGAGCCGAGCCCAGAATTCAAGGCGACCCTCGGCACGGCAAAAGGAGGAGGAGGAGGAGGAGGAGGAGGAGGAGGAGGAGGAGGAGGGGGAGCAGGAGGAGGAGGAGCAGGAGGAGGTGGAGGAGGAGCAGGAGGAGGAGGAGGAGGAGGAGGAGGCGCCCCCTGTCAGAGGAACCTGGCGCATAGTTAGGAGGAGGAGGAGGTGGAGGAGGAGGAGGAAGAGGAGGAGGAGGAGCAGGAGAAGGAGGAGGAGGGGGAGGAGGAGGAGGACCCCTCCCTCTCCTCCCCGCCCCCGCCGCCTCCGGCGCGAGAGAGCCATGGGGGGGGGCGCGGGCGGCGCCCGCAGGCGAGCGGGCAGGAGGCGCGCACGAGGTCGCCGAAGCTGCCGCCGTCGAGGCACAGCAGCCTCGCCGTCGCGCTCCGGGGGCGCCCCACACGGCCGGCGCGGGGGGGAGCGCAGGCGGCCGCAGCGGGAGCACGCGGTGGGCGTAGCGTCGGGGCGCGGACCCAAGGAACCCTAAATCAGGAACGAGGTCCCTTCTCTCCACAAGTTAAACTTCGATTTCCCATCGAAAACCGAAGGAAAACCTAAGACAAGCTGCGAAACAGTCAAGGAACACCGAGCTCCTCCCCAACGAAAAGGGTCCCTTAGTCAGCGCCCCGACTGTACTTGCTCAGTCGGCGCTTCGACGTTGGGCGGAAGGGGGGTGAACGGGAGGAGGGGGGTCTGGCTCCAAAGCTCCTTCCTCTTCTTAATTACCCCTACTCCTCCTCCTCCTCCTCCTCCTCCTCCTCCTCCTCCAACTCCTCCTCTTCCTCCTCTCCCCATCTGCCTTCCCCCTCGGGCGCGCCGCCGACGAAGTTTCTGGGCGTCTGGAGGGAAACGTCGAGCTTAAGTCGGCGGTACATCGCGGATAGATCAGGCCCACGATAGCGAATCCGCACCTTCAAGGGAGACGTGGGCCGTGGCCATCGGGCAATATCGGCGATCGACGGGGGATTGGGGGTCGATGAACCCCTCTGAGCCAATTCCCGGGCGCGCCCCTGACGTTGCCCCAGAGTCCAGCGGGCGCGCCGACGGCTGCAGCAGGAGCAGATTTGTTTGGACCAGTATAATACAGTCGGACTGAGGCCAGCGAACATGAGACCCTCCGTCGGCCAAAACACAGAAAGTCCAAGGGTACCCGCCCCAGGATGCACAAGAGCATCCAACAAACGCGAAGAACACATTAGGGGTACCCTCCCCGAACCAACCTCGATCTGATACCTCGGTCCGCCTGGACTTGTTCGGACTGTCTGGACCTCTGGGGGGGCGGTTCTCGTCTCCACGGCCAGATCCGCCTCGGAGTTCTGGCCAGAACGCTCCGTGGAGCAGGTGCAGGAGTCTACTCCTTTACGTCGGCCCCTGAGGGCCACTCGCGCCGCTGGAAGGCTCTGCTCAGCGCGCACCGTGAATCACGGGTCCACCATCACTCCGCGGACCTCCGGCGAGGAGGAGAGGAAGGCAGGGAGCGGGAGGCGAGGAGGAGAGAGCAGGAGGCGAGGCGGGGCGCGCTCGTGCCACGTGTGGCACCACGCCTCCCCCCTCCCCATCCTTCCTCGTGGCGCTGGGTCCTCTTCTTTTCCGCTGCGGGAGGTCCCCGAACGCCGCCAAGAGGCTCCCAGAGACACCGCCGCGCAAAGACACCTGGATGGACAAACCCCGTCGTGGCCGTCGTGGTCGGCGCTGTCCTCCTCCCACGTTCTCCGCATCATCTTCTTTGCTCCTTCTACGTAGTCATCCTCCTCGTTTTTATGCCTTCTGCTCCTATCTCGTGCTATGCCTTCTCCGTGCCATCCCCCTCCTCCTACACCCCTTCCTTCCATGCCCCCTGTCCTCTCTTACACGGGAACGCTTGATAAAATCCTTAGGCCGTTAACTCACCTTGCTCTACCTCACCCTCCTTCTGCTCCTTCTCATTGCCATCATCCCCATCCTCATCCATCTCGTTATCCTCACCTTCCTTCTCAGTTTGTTCCGTCTCACTCTCGTCCTGTCCCTCCTCCTCCTCGTTTCGATTCTCCTTCGCAAAATGTGCTCATGCCGTTGAATCGTATGATGTGTTATCATACCTTGTCGCATTGCTTAGTACACCCTAGAAAAAACACAAAACTCCTGTTCAACGCGGGTGCTCTCGCTTGAATGGCAAGCACATCGAGTGCTGGCCTTCTTCTAAAGCGGCGCTTCTGGCAACGACGGAAAAGGGCGGTGGGACTTCTGAGAAGGGGACTTGGGACGGGAAGGTGCTTTTCAGCATCGCTCAACGCCCCAGGGCCCGAACTCAGCGGTGTCTTGGCGAGTTCGTGGCCCATGTTCGTTTTGTCTTTTCTTTCGCAGCAGCGGCAGAACTGACTACCTACCAGACCACCCCAACCCAACCCGAAGACCCGTATTTCGGGTTGGGGGGGGGGTATGGGCTCCATATGTTTTTGTTTGATGTTCCCCGACCCCCTCCCCACTGGATATGGAAGGCAAATTGAGGCCTTCGGGTTGGGTTGGGGTGGTTTGGTGGGTGGTGAAGAACGAAGACACAACAAAGGACGACGAAAACAATACAGCCCTGGATGACCATGGGTTTTCTCTGGCCTTCCTCCTCATCATCATCCTCTCCCTCACCTGCTCGCCCCCTTCCCCCTTCCCCCTCCGCCGCCCCCTCCTCCTCCTCCTCCTCCTCCTCCTCCTCATCATCATCATCCGCCTTCTCCTCATTTCCTCCTCCTCCTCATCCCGCTCCCCCTCCTCCTCCTCCTCCTCCTCCTCCTTTCCTCCTGCTCCTTTCCTCCTCCTCTTCCTCCCCCTCAACTCCTGCTCCTCCTCCTCCTCCTCCTCCTCCTGCTCCTTCCCTCCTCCTCCTCTTCCTTTCCTCCTCCTCCTCCTCCTGCTCCTCCTCCTCCTCCTCCCCCTCCTCCTCGTCCTGCTCCCCCTCCTACTGCTCCTCCTCTGACCTGCCCTGGACCGGCGGCACAGACCAGAGGAACATACAAACACTGGACACCCTGGAGCCTCCCGAAGTCTGGAAAGATCGGTTTCCCAGGCGGTGGACATGTCGGAGGGCCACCACGATATGCGTGCCGAGCTGGTCGGGCGACCTCATGAGCGTGTTACAGCCGAAAAGATGCCAGGCCGGAAAACAAAGAGCGAATTGGTCACACACCCACACTGTGGCACACTGACACATACAAAGAGCGAATGACAATCAGTGACACGCTCGTCGTCTTTCAAGCTGCGTGTATTGCATTTTAAAAATGAAGAGCGTGTCACTGATTCTCTGTGCACCTCCCGCGTGTGCTGTAAGTCCCCGTCTCGGACAGGGTGAGGGGATGGACGCGCCGCTGCTGCTGCCGCTGCTGCTGCTACCAGACTTGACTTTCGTGGTCAGCAGGGTTGGACCTACACGCTGTTTCTCGTTCTGCTTTCGTTTTGCTATACCTGTATTCCTGTACCTCCCTGCCAAAACGAAAAACAATACACAGCCGAATCTCAGCAAAAGAGCGTTTAGGTCCAGCCCTGGTGGTCAGTTGGACTCGGGCTTCAAACCGACCAGGCCCTCAGGGCTGGACTTGCCACGCCGCCGGCGAGTAGGCTCCGGGACCAAAACAGGCAACACCGATCCTCTCTGGCACAGCTTGCTTGGGAAGGAGGCAGGCCAAAGAACGGGAAAGGGGGACGAGAGGGAGGCGGAGGAGGGGGATGCGGGGAAAAGGGCCGAAATGGGGAGGAGGATGACGCCCCGACATCCCACGCCGTGCTTTCTCTACAGAGTGGCTACCCAGAGGTCTGGATTATCCCGAGACGTTGTTGACCTCCCCAGGGCCGATGGCCTGTAGAGGGCCCCCCGGGGGCAGGAGAGTGCCAGAGACCTCCCGCCTCGGGCTGCAGCCGCGCCCTGCCGGCGCATTGGCAAACAGATGGGTAGTACTGATCCCATGCGTGCGGGCGTGCAGAGAAACACAGAAAATTGCTGAGTGCCTCGGGGGGCCCGTCGTTGGAGCCTTCGTTTCCGACGAGGTTTGAAGGGTAACTGCGCAGTTTGCGAGAGAGGGAGGGGAAGCGGGCGAGGAGGGGAGGGGAGGGGAAGGAGAAGTAAGGGGATGGGCGGGGCACTCAACAAAACAGAAGTGCTACTTTGCACAGTTTTGAGCAACAGCCTCACGTCATTCTGAATGATCCCCCTCCTCCTCCTCCTCCTCCTCCTCCTCCTCCTCCTCCCCCTCCTCCTCCTCCTCCTCCCCCTCCTCCTCCCCCGCGAGAGGGGACGGGGAGAGTCCTCATCTGCTGGCAGCTCTTGCCGCGCGCCGCCCACCTGGCGTCGTCGTCGGCGCACGTGGCCTCTTGAGGGGGGGGGGCCCTGCTTCTGCCGCTCCTCCCCCCCCCTCCCCCCCCCCCCCCCCCTCCTCCTCCTCTCCTCCTCTCCTCCTCCCCCCCCTCCTCCTCTCTCCTCCTCCTCCTCCTCCTCCTCCTCCTCCTCCTCCTCCTCCTCCTCCTCTTGCGCCTCCTCCTCCTCCTGACCCTCCTACCGTGCCCTGTGCACCGAGGGGAGTGTCGAGAGAAGCCTCTTACGCTCGCTGCTGGGATCACGCCGAGGCTCGCCCTGCCCTCTTGGAGGCTCCCCGGTGCCCCGTGTGGGCCCTCCCGGGGCCCCCTTGGAGGCGGATTGCGGCATCTTCGAAGGGGCCCCAGGACACGCAAATAAATACACACAAATAAAAAGATCCCCCATATTTTCGCATATTTTCTGGGTTTCTGTCTCCCCCCCCCCCCACTTCCCATATTTTCACATATTTTCCTGGGGGTCGACGATTAATTGAGTCTGTGTGTGTGTGTTTTTTCCCTCCTGAATCTTAGACACCACTCGGAGCCCAAGGGGCAGGCGTGAAGCAACAACCGCTTCAAACGCCTCCATGTGTGGAGGAGACGTCTCATACGGAACCGCCGTTTTTGGACATGCACCCATCTCCAATCGCAAGTGGTCAGGCCGCAACAGTTACGTAAAGAAGGCCGATTAATCCCACCAGCCCCCTGGGCATCGGTGGTTCAACGACGTTTGCCTTCTCTCCCCCGCCTTCCCCTGCTCGGGGGAGGCGCCTCCCCCGCCTTCCCCCGCCTTCCCCTGCTCGGGGGTGGGCATGGGATGGGGGGGGATGTCGGGTAGTCCAAGTTTCAAGATGGGCCCAAGATGACTCCAAGAGGGCCCTCGGCAACCCAAGACGCCTTCCAAGATGGTTCAAGATAGCCGAAGATAGTCAACTATAACGTCCTGCATACCTCCTGGAGGCCCCGAGACAGCCCAAAGACGGTTCCAAGTGCCCTTCGAGCCCTCCTAGGCATCCTCCAAGAGGCCAGAATCCTTCAACAACCTATGGGAAGTCGATGTGGTTTGCCTTCTCGCCGTTCCGTTTCCTATGGTCTTCTGAGGCCTCAAGGTGACACCACAACAGCCCAATAGAGCCCAAGAGGGGCCCGAGAAGGCCCCAAGAGCGCTCCAAGAGCGCTTCAAGAGAGCCCCAAAACGCCATGTTTGTTTCTTCGAGGGGGGGACCTGAATTGAGTATCCCAACTTTCTTTTTGGGCCATGGGGCCCAAGATGCCTCCCAGACCCCTCCAGTGAGCCCCACGAGGGTTCCAAGACCTTCGAAATAAGCCCCAAGAGCCCCATGAGTGCCCCAAAGAGACCCCACCCCACGTGGACTCCAGCAGAGACCCATGAGATGGCCTGAGTCGTCCTTCAAGAAACTCGCACAACCACATCTCTCCAAAGCCAGGCTTCTCATCTTCTTTGTCATCGTCCATTCCTTCCCTCCTCCTCTCCTGCCTCCTCCCTCCTCCTCGTCCGCCCTATTCTCCTCATCTTCCTCGTGCCGCATTCCTCCTCCTCCTCCTCCTCGTTTTTCTTGCGCTGGCTGCGGGGGCGCTCGCCTCCTCCTCCTTCCCCCTCCTCCTCCTCATTCTCTCATTTCCCTCCCCCTCCTCCTCCCCCATTCCGCTCCTTATGATAAATGGCTTCTCCCTGTCGCACCCCGAGACAAGTCGGAAGGGCGGGCTGGGCGTTTCGCCTCGGACTTCCTCACCACTGATGGTCCTGAAGCTTCCAATTGACAGCAGTTTCACCTATGTAGGGCGGGTCGTTTCCAAAATGTGGCTCTTGCCTTGGCGCCGCGCACATTCGCCTTACACATTGGCAAGAGTTTTACGGGTTGAGGGCGGGTCGTTTTGAACATGTGCCCCTCGCCTCAGCGCCGCGCACGCTCGCTCAATAAAGCAAGGGTTTCACGGATCGAGAGCGGGTCCTGCTCAAAATGTGACTCTCGCCTTAGCGCCACGCGCATTCGTCTGACACATCTGCAATCGTTTTCACAGATGAAAGAGCGTTTCATTCTCAAAACGCGGTTTTTGCCTTAGCGCCGCGCACACCCGCTTTAAGCAATTGTAGGAGTTTCGCGGGTTCCCATGGCTAACGTACCAGATGCTGAAGTCCCAGGAACGTCCTGGTACGATTCAGGGCCATCAAGAAACAATAGTCACATTGATTCGGGGTGCTGGAATCCCGAAAGTGGTGTTTTGGCACGCTCCAAAATCTCCAAACGGTTGTTTCCAGACGGGGCACTGCCCTCAGGGCAAGTAAATCCGTGCATGGTTTTTTTTGAGACCCGATGTCCCACAGCCAAGCGACAAGTAATCGGGCACAGGCGGCCGGAACCCCTGCCAGCTGTGCCTCAAAAGAGAGGGAGCTTGGAGGGCGGGTTTATTCCAACATCGTTGACGAATCTTGGGTTTACGCTGGTCCTCATCCTCCTCCTAATTCCTCCTAATTCCTCCTCTTCCTCCTCCTCCTCCTCCTCCTCCTCCACCTCCTCCTCCTCCTCCTCCTCCTCCTCCTCCTCCTCCTCCTCGTCCTCCTCTCCTTCCCACCCCCAAGATGGTCCCAGGAGGTCAAGCGTGGCTCAAGACAGCTGCGCATGGCTCAGGAGGGCCTCCGACAGCCTCAGGCCAACCAGGGCTCCAGATAGCCTCCCAAGCGACCCCAAGATTGGGTCCGATCGTGTCTGGGTTGGCTGGTGCGGATATTATGTGTGGAACGCGGGCGCGCGAAAACGAGTCGAACGCCATGCAAGCTAGGGCGGGCCGCGCCGAAGCAAAAGGGAAAACAGCGAAACGAGCGGCGCCAGGCTCAGGGGCTGGCGCGGATACTTTTTTGATCGCGACCGCGGCGGAAAGGTCGGGCGGCGTCAAGGAGCGAAGCACAGGGGCAACGGCCTAAACTAGCGCACAGGAAGAGGAAGGCGAAAAGAGACAAGACCAAGCGAGGAGGGAAACAAACAGGAGGCGAGCCTCGCTTCCGCTCACAGGAGGGCGCGCACCAGGAAGTCCTTCCGGGCGACGTGCAGCACCAAAGTGGTGGGATTCGGGTAGGCCAACACCACGTCCACGTCGAGGAAGACTGCCACCACGACGCACAGCAAGCCGAGGGCAGAGCCGAGGGACGCGGAACGAGGGACGCAGATACTGTTTAATCAGCGGCCGCAAGCGAAAGCGCCAGCGGCGAGTCGAGTCAGAGCGGGCCGCGCAAAGACGAATTAACCTAAAGCGGTGTGCCGGAGCCGAGGGACGCGGATACGCGAAGCGTCAACAATTCGTTTCTGGGTCGTCCGACACAGGCGCATGGAGATCCCCAGTATCGGGGACCGACTGACCCGGGTCAATCCTGCAAGGCCCAGCAGGATCCTGCACCGAAGTCCGGGTCAGTGCACCCCTGGCTCTGCAGGATCCCGCAGGCTACGGCGCTCTGACGGACCCCCGCTTGCACTGACCCCCGTCTCTTGAGCCCCGACCCAGCGACAGTCTGTGGCCGCCGGGGGTTGCCCCGAGCCCGCCGTGTCCCCTCCGCGACAGCCAGCGGCCGCCGCTGGCCTCGAGCTCCTCCGCGCCCGCGGCCTCGCCGGTCCAGCGTTGCCCCGAGCTCTCTCGGCGTCCGCCGCCCGGGCCCTGCAGGCGGCCGCTGGGGCGCAGACGTTCGCAAACGCCGAGGCGGCCACGAGTGACTAGCAATAGAAGGAACTCTAACCCGGTGGGAAGGGACCAAAGTTAGGAGGGCCAGAAACATTAGGAGATCAGCCGCTATTCTGCAGGTGTAACAAGCAGAAGAGGGAGCGCCACGTGCTCGACGAGCGTCCCGTCGGGCCCCCCATCGAGGCGCCAATTTAGGGGGGCCTCTTCTGCAGGTGTACCGAGCAGAACCGCCCATAAATAGCATCCCTGATGCAGAGACGGGGACCTAAGTGAGGCCACGTCTTCACCATCCTGTCAGAGTTAGGGGTTCGTGCCCTCGACGAGGGAGCACCACCGACAGGCTGCTCAGAACGGCGTCGCCCTCGTTCAGCATCATCATGGCCCAGGCCACCGGGAAAAGCAGCAGCCACTGGTGAAACATCCCCGGGTGCACCATGCGCGCGAGCACGGTGCCCGATACGGCACCGGCCAGCCCCTCTGCCGTCAAGGCGGAATATCGGGGGAAAACAAACCTACCTCGCCTTTGACCACCCTCGCTTCCAAGAGATACCAAACGATGCCAAACTACGGCCTGTACTGGTCAGGCCGCTTGACGAGGAGGCGCGTGGTATGACTTGGTTTTGCCTGGAAGCGAAAGCGGGGTAAGCAATTCTCGCTCTGAGAGTACATGGCTCAGCACCGCAGGTCGAGGGCCCGGGAGAAGCCGCCGAGGAGGGGCCCCTGCACGAGCAGCACGAGACGCCCCAGATGACTCTGAGAATCGCCAGGAAGGCCCCCGAGGCGTCCCGAGGGGCCTCCACGCGGCCCCCACAGGCGCTCCAGGAAGTCCTCGAGAGCCGCCGGGCGCCGCCAGGAGGCCCCCGAAGACGCCCCAAAAGGCCTCCAAGAGACACCGAGAGACATCTGGTCGGGGGGGAACAATGAGTGGACGCTCCCCCGCCCCCCCAAACTCAAAGCTGGCACGCGCGGGGGAGACCGCGGTCGAAGTGAAGCTCATCAGACCCACCGCCAACTTTGAACATGGGGGGGGGGGCGTTGGCCGATGAATGTGGCATGCGTGTTCGCTATTTCTGTTCCGAGGCCTGTCCCAAGAGACTCCGAGGGGCATCCAAGACGTATCTGACCCACGGAGGTTCCCCGAACTCTCCAACTGATGCCACTTTCCCCCGATGAGCGAAGCTCCGCTGGGCATCGCTCCTGGATGGGCTGGTGTGGATACGCGAAGAGTGTACTTCAAAACTCCGTCCAGTATTGCACAGGCACGGTGGCGGGGTTTGCCGCAGGCAGATGGGTATTTTTTGTTCGAATCCCTTCCTATCCGGTAGAATGATGTAAGGCAGTTTCTTCTCAACATGGGGCTCCAAGCCCATGGGGTGCTGGTGTTTCCAGGAGGCGTTTCTTGCAGCGAAAAGGCTCTTAGGGACTTCTGAGGGAGGGCCTTAGGACGGGAATCGCTGATGCACATTGGCTTTACTCTGGCCATCCTCATCGTTCCCCCTTATTCCTCCAACAATTCCTGCTCCCACTTCATCGTCCTCCCTCAACCCTCCAACTGTTCCTCCTCCTCCTCCTCACCCTTTTCCATGTCTGGTTCTTTCGTCCCCTCAATTCTTACTCAAGACCGCCAACTTGGAGTGCAAAGCGCACGTGCGAGTATGCAACTCGTGGGAATGAAGTGTTCTGAAGCTGTTATCCCTCCTCCTCTTCCTCCTCCTCCCTCTGTCGCCCTCCCGCGCTACAACCTGAGGCGCAACAGAAATTCACTTCGTACGTCTTCAAGGAGCACTCTGGCGAAACGAATGTCCCCTGACCCGAGAGCCTTATGTCGCCCTCCTCCTCCTCCTTTCCCTTCTCCTCCCTTTATCCTCCTCCTCCTCCTCTTCCTCCTGCTCCTGCTCCCCTCCCTCCGCCTCCTCCTCTGCAGTTTCCTCCTCCTCGTCCTCGTCCTCGTTCTCCTCCTCCTCCTCTTCCTCCCTCTCCCCCATATATTGTCTCTTTATGCGTAACCCCTGTACCTCTTGCTCGTCCTCCTGTTCCTCCTCCTCCTCCTCCTCCTCCTGCTCCTCCTCCTCCTCCTCCCCCTCCTCCCCCTCCTCCACTTTCTGCTCCTCCTCCCCCTCTTCCTCCGCCTCCTTCTTCATCTCCTCCTCCTCCTCGTCGTCGTCCTCCTCCTCCTCCTCCCTCTCCTCCCCCTCCTCCCCCTCCTCCCCCTCCTCCTCCCCTTCCCCTTCCTCGGGGCGGCGCCGCGCCTCTGCGGCGCGCACCGCGGGTGGCGGGGCCGCGCACACCTGCTCTGCGGAGGGCCCCCTCCTCCTCTCGACGCAGCCTGGCATCGCTATGTCCTCCTGCTCCTCCTCCTCCTCCTGCTCCTCCTCCTCCTCCTGTTCCTCCTCCCCCTCCTCCCTTCTCTCCTCCCTATCCTCCTCCTCCTTCCTCCTCCTCCTCCTCTCTCCCTCCTCCTCCTCCTCCTCCTCCTCTCGACGCAGCCTGGCATCGCTGTGTCCTCTGGCCTCGCCACCTGGTGCTCGCGGTGACCGTCCCCGCGTTCGCGCTTGGGCCTGGGTTTCAGGAGAGGCGTGCGCACTGCTCTCGATGTGCGGAAGCAGTCCACCTCACATGTGCTCTCCTCCTCCTCCTCCTCCTCCTCCTCCTCCTCCTCCTCCTCCTCTCCTCCTCCTCTCCTCCCTCCTCCTCCTCCTCCTCCTCCTCCTCCTCCTCCTCTTCCGCCTCCTCCGCTTCATCCTCCTCCTCCGCCTCCTCGTCACCCTCCTCGTTCTACCTCCTCCCTCCCTCCTCCCCTTCCTTCCCTCCCTCCCTCCCTTCCGTCTCCCCCCTCCCTCCCACCATCTCTCTCTTTTTCTCCTTCTCCCTGCCCCCCTATCACCGCTCTTCCTCCATCTCCTCCTCGTCCTCCTCCTCTTCCTCCTCCTCCTGCTCTTCCTTCTCCTCTCTCCTCCTCCGTTTCCTTTTCCTTTTCCTTTCTCCTCATCCTCCTCCTCCTCCGCCCCCTCCTCCTCTTCCTCCTCCTCCTCCTCCTCTTCCTCCCTCTCCCCCCATACCGCTTCTATTTATGCGCAACCCTCCCTGTCGCACCCGGAGACGCGTCGGCAGGGCGGGCCAAGCGTTTCGCTGGAGACTTCTTCACCAACATGTGTAACAGTTTTGCAGATGGAGGGCGCACTGTGTTCAGAATGCGGCTCTCGCCTTAGCGCCGCGCGCGCTCGTCTTTAGAAATGCATGAACTTCGCCAATGGAAGGCGGGCTGTTTTCAAAATGTGTGTTCTCGCCCCAGCGCCGCGCATACTTGTTTTAAGCCTTGGCACACGTTCCACGTTTTTTGGGGGGACCGTTTCTAAAATGTGGCTATCGCTTCAGCGCAGCGTGCACATGTCTTAAGAGTATACATACAAGCGTTCCACGGACTCTGGAGGCTGACGTCCCATAACTTGTTTTTCGGGGCGAAGTAGGACTGTCGGGGCGCAACTGTTACGTTGACTCGCGCACTTGAAGTTCCAGGAATGGTTTTCGGGCACGACTCGGGATGATTACGCTGAGGCGCGGCGTTGAAGTCCCAGGAATTGCGTTCTGGCACCGTTCAGGATTTGCATAACATGTGTCTCACAGCTTGTCACTTCTCTCAAGGAAGCCGAATCCTTGTAGGGACTCTTGCAGACGGAACTTGGAGGGAGGGTTTGTTGCAACATGTTGGGTTTGCACTGATCCTCCTGATTTTCCTCCTCCTCCTCCTCGTCCTCGTCCTCGTCCTCCTCCTCCTCCTCCTCCCCCCCCTCTTCCTCCTCCTCCTCCTCCTCCTCCTCCTCCTCCTCTTCCTCCTCCTCCTCCTCCTCCTCCCAGCTGCCACCGCTTAGGTTGCAACGGGTGCTGGCTGAACGACTGTTAGAAATGCCACAATCCTGGCTATGCCCAAAATTTGCGCCGCCCGTTCTCGCTAAAGCCGGGCTGTCGCGGTCTCAACGTCGTCTCTGTCGTGTCCGTCTGTCGCTGTCGTCGTGTTCTCTTTGTTGGGGACCTGGCCACCACGCGCGGGCCCCGCCACCAGTCACAGTCAGAGTCCTGTCAGCTGTCAGTGGCAGGATGGTCGGCGGCTGCGGCGGTGCGCGCTCCTGGTCTGGGTGAGTAGCTGGTTCTGGCGAGCCCCAAGGCGGGGCCCGGGATCCGCTGCACTCAGAGACCCCCCTTCCTCCATGACGACGGAGAGGAAGGGGAGGGAGGCGGGGAGAAAGGGACGGAAAGGGGGAGGGCAAGGGGGAGGACCCGGGATCAGGTCCACTCAGAGACCCCTTCCCTCCACGACGAAGGGGAGGGGAGGGAGAAGGCACCCTTCCTCAGGCGCGCCAGCCAAACAGAAATCGAGCCATGTCGTAATCGAGTCAGAGAGGCCCCGGATGGTCCAAGGGTCAGAGATGCCCAAGGCGACCCCGCGGGGGGGCGCAAGCGGGAAGGCAGCGAGAGAGAAGGGGGAATCCTGATTCTGAAAGATCAAAAAACCGGATGTTGAGCTCGGTCAGAGTAGGTCTCGTGTGAGCTTCAGGATTTGAAAGCGGCGTAAGGCTTGGCCGAAATTTCGCAGTACAGTTCGCGCATCATGCCTGAAGCTTGCCAGAAAGCAACATGGCTGACAGGGCCTACGGCGTAACAGCATCGGCAGGAAGGGAAAGAGTGAGTGGAGGACGGGAGAGGATGCAAGAGGACGAAGCGGGAGGGCGGGCAAAGGGCGGAAAATGAAGGGGGAGCACTGAGAGGGGCTGCGAGAAGAGGGGGTAATGGATGTGGAAGGAGGGGCACCGAAAGGAAGAAAGGACGGAGAGATGAGACGCGGAGAGGAGGGCGAGGGGAGGCAGGGGAGCGGCGGAAGGAGGGAAAGGGGTAGTGGGGATAAAAGGAGATTGAAAATCACGTTCAGGATATACCCTGGCGGGACATTGGCGCCCTTTCTGGGAGCCTCTGGGGTCTCGGTGGAGAGGAGCCGAAACGAGGCAACTGACCGTGGTGCTCGCAGCGCAATGTCAGCTTGCGACTAATAAAACACAGGGCGTGTGACACACAAATGGTTTCCTTGCTCGGGCGCATCGCGGGGGTGGCGACCGCCAAATGTCGGGAGCGGCCAAAGAGGGGGGTGTCCAAGAGGGGGGGGGTGCAAATCATGACCGGCGGCATGTGCGAGGCCCAGCGGGGGGGCCAGGGACGTAATGAAATAAGAAGAGGCGCCATGAGATCTGGGGAAATATCATGGCCCCCGCCATGATATCCCCTCCCCCCTAGTCATCACCCCCCCTCTTCTCCGCCCCCGAAAATGGAAACGCGCGGGGCGGCGGCGCCGGTGATCAGCGCCGACGCCCGGCCACAAAGTTGGAAGGCGGCAGGGAGCAGCAAGGCCTCCGCTGCAGCGGGGCGCTCGGGCCGAAGTGGCACGGACCGGGGGAGGGGAGCCGCTGGACGTCGGGGGGGGGCTGCGCCTCCCTGCGACGAGGGCGCGGGTCGGGCGAGAGAAAGCTCGGGCTCGCGCTTCACGCCCTCTCGCTCCCTCCTGGTTCCCTCTCCCCTCGCCTTCCCAGGCCGCCGCTGGTGGCGAGGACGCCTCGGGCGGCTCGCCCGAGGCGTCCTCGCCACCCTCGGCCGCCTGGAGCTCGGCATGCGCGGCAGAGTCACGGCTGGAGAGCGGGGGGATGATGATGATGAGGAGGACGAGGAGGAGGAGGAGGAAGAGGAGGACGAGGAAGAGGAGGAGGAGGAGGAGGAGGAGGAGGAGCTGTCCAAGCGTGGCTCTCGTGCCCAGCGCCGCGCACAGTCGTCTCACCAGCGTGCCCCTCGGGAGAAGCGCGGGCCCGGCGAGCAAGCAGAGCCACGGCCTCCACGAGGCGCCTCTCCGGCCTCGGGCGGCGCGCGCGCCCGCAGGGCCAGTGCGGCGGGCAGCGCAGGCCGCCGGGCCCACGAAAGGACGACGTCGCGGCGCATGGGCGCGACACTCACGCGTGCAGAGCGCTTCACGTCGCGGGCGCGGCGCCCCCCCTCTCGAAGGCGGCGCGTCGTTCATGCCGTTTGCCATCGTTCGGGGCGCGGTGGCTTCGCGAGCTCTCGGCACTGGCGCGCGTGATTGCGACAAACGTTTCGCGCCCCGCGGGGTCTATTCATCAGCCCCGGGGGGGGCCGTCACTCGTCAATCACAAGCGGACATTGCGAGAGAGCCTTGAGACGGATCGGCCCTTGGCTCAGTGCTTGTTTTCGAATGCTGGTCTACTGGGCCACGCACGGTCCATCAGGGAGCCCGAAATGACACACGCGCCCAGCCATGCACACATATGCCCCCCGAGTTCGCGAGGCCGCCCTCGTGTCATGAACACTCTCTTCGCCCAATGCGCTCTCGTAGAACCCGTGTAAAGTCATGCACGCGCACGGCATTGCTTCGCTCCTGATCCATGGCGTCTCCAGAATGTCGCGCCGAGCTCACTGTGAGTGAGGGTCTCGAGGTGAGGGGAGGAAGGGAGCGCCTTTGAAGGGGCCCAGGGACACAAGAAAAAAAAACACATCCTAGATTCTGGATGCTCGTATTCTCCTCCACTTCCCATGTGCTCCATATTTCCTGGGTGCCGGCGACTATTCGTGCCTGTGTTTCTGTTCCACCTCCTGAGCCTTGATTGATCCGCCCCCCTCCTCCCAGAAAAAAATACGGACGCGGCGCCCCCAGCGCCAGCAGCAGCCGAGGGGCAGCACCTCGGGATGACAACCACAACAACAAACAACTGCAGAGACTCGGACTTTGAGACTTAGAGCATATTCGTCCTGCTGCCAGCTGCCTCCTGCGACTCCTCCTCACCCTTCCCGCCTCTTCCCCGTCCCCGTCCTCTTCTTAATCAACGCTCTCCGTCCTTCCGTCCCCCCGGACGTACCCCCTACCCTCACCCTCGTCCACGCCACCTCACCCTCTTCCCTGTCCTCCCCCTTCCCCATCTCCCCATGAACCTCTTCATCCCTCCTCATCAGCCTTCTCCCTCCTCACATTCCTCCCCCATCTTCCTTTCCCGCCTCATGTTCCTCCCCCTCCTCATCATAATCCGGTTCTTCTCATCCGAGTGTGTCTCTTCCTCCCTCCTCACGAACATCCACCATCGTCCTCGTCGTCACCAGCTTCACAGCGAGGCAGACGCGCTCCGCAGCCTAGACGCGGTGCACTCCCTCGGGCATCTTAGCACCGCGCCTCGGGGAAAGGCCACCACCTGGCGGACAGGAGGTCCGAGATCGCTTCCGCTCGTCGGGCCCGTGCCCCGAGGGCCGTCCCACTCTTTAGGGCCAGCTCCGACTCTCCGTGCCCGCGCCCAGGCACATCTCTGCCGGCCTCGTCTCCTCCGAGAGCCGCTTCGGGGTCGCGGCGCGGAGCGGAGCGGAGTGGCACCGAGGAGAGAGCCACGCAGCTTGCCTCCGCGTGCCGCACCGAGCTGCGCTGCGTTGCGGGGCAGAGATCTGATGAGGGCGCGGCGACACTGCAACCGCTGAGCAAACACGAGCTGAATGTGATGCCCCAGGACTGCCGCAACTGACACGATCGAGGTACATGGCCTCACTTCCATCGATGCTCCAGGCTGGTCCTCTGGTAGTGAAGGCACTGGTAGCAGCCTGGCCGAAACCCCCGTCGGCAAGGCAGCTGCTCACATGCCTCCGCCACGTGCCGAAAACTTTTCTTGCGCACCTGCCACCCTGGTTGATCCGCTTTTCTCGCCACAGCTGCTGGAGCAGTCTTACTGTGCTCAATCCTCCTCCCTTACCAACCCTCCCTATAAAAGAGCCCGGATAGCCCCCCCTCCCCCTGCAGCCTCGATCCTCCTGCTGCGCTCATGCTGTAGGCGGGCGCCATGTGTCTGATGACTCCCACTGCTACCAAGAGCAACGAGTGACCTCGTAGACGAGGCCGCGAACGCCAGCTTCGGTACTGCCACGGCAATCTCACGATGGGTTCAAAACTGCATTTCTGAGCCCTGCCGCCGCCTGTCTGGGTGGAAGCAGCCGCCTCGCTCCCCAGCCGGTGCCACCCAGCTTGATGCATGTGGCGGTTGACTACCTACCCGACCACCCCAATCGAACCCGAAGACCCGAATTGCGGGTTGGGGTGGATGGGTGCGGGATCTACACGAGTTGTTTCAATCCCACCAGCCCTCTGGGCGTCGGTGGTTTAACGAGTTTCCTCTTCCACCCCTCCCTCTTCCCCCTTCGGGGAGGGGCTTACCCCTCCCCCTACCCCCTCCCCACTGACCTGGACAGGGGGTTCTGCGGCGCGTTGGAGCGCCCAAGATCGACCCCTGGGAGGGCTAAAATTCGACACCCCTCACGAGGATCGTGGCTCCTGAGGGGGGGACTGTAATTAGGGAACCCCCCTTCGTTGATCGATCTCCTCCAAGATGGCTCCGAGGCCCCCCAAGAGGCCCCCAGGAGGCCCCCAAGAGACCCCCAAGAGGCCCCAAGAGACCCCCCAGAGGCACCCAAGAAGCGCCCAGGAGGCCCCAAGAAGCGCCCAGGAGGCCCCCAAAGGCCCCAAGATGGCCCCAAGAGGCCCCAAGAGGCCCCCAGGAGGCCCCAAAGAGGATCCCGAACGGCCCACAGAGGCCCCCCCGAGGCACCCAAGACGCCGAAAAGCCCCTCAGGACGACCCTCTACTCGCCTGGGCGTCGTTTCTGGACGGGCTGGTGGGGATACGCGAAGCGTCTAGAATTTTCCCCGACGCACCCCCCACTGGGAATGGAGGCCTTCGGGTTGGGTTGGGGTGGTTTGGTGGGTGGTGAACCGTGAGGGCTGCAAGGGCTCCTGTGGCATGGCGGCCCCCGAGTGACCAGCTCAAGCCGTTCGCACGGCGGCCTACCACTGTGCAGAAGGCTGGGCTTTTGCCCAGCTGGAGGACCCGAACCTGTTCGCACGTGCGCGAGCGCTGCAGCATGCTGAGCGCCGCCTGAGCCACAGCCATAGCGACAATCAGCAAGTGCTTCACGTCGCAGGGTGGCCCCAACTCGGCGTCTTTGTGTGGCACCACAGAACCAATGCAGCGATTCTGGCATAGCAGCAAGACCTCTCAACTGCATCGCTACAGGACAGCCTGCAGTGCAGTAAAGCAAGTAAGTCAGTTACCCAGTCATCGTCATCATCATCATTACCATCACCATCACCATTACCATCATCATCATCGTCATCATCATCATCATCATCATCATCATCATCGTCATCGTCATCGTCATCGTCATCAGCATCACCATCATCATCACCATCACCATCATCATCATCATCATCATCATCATCATCATCATCATCATCATCATCTTCATCAGCATCTTCATCAGCATCATCATCACCACATTCTACACGCACTCTCAGACTGCAAAGGCAAAAGCTTTCAGAGGCCCGCGCGAATTTCTTGGATTGGCTCTGGACCCCCCGCCCTGAAGCGCGGAGCGTGCAAGGGGCGGCGCCTCAGACACCGCACGGAGGACCCAACGCCGATCCAAGAAACCGCGCCGACCTCCGATAACCCGTTTGTATGTAATCATGACTGTATGCATCAGCGGCCATCGTTATCGTCTGTGTCCCAGCGGGCGAAGTACGGCAGCAGATACATACGACGGTCATCCAGGGCGCCTGTGTCAGGGCGGCCTGCACGGTGGCGCGCCTGGGTACACCCTTCCGATCCGCCATGGATCAGGCGTCCCCGATGGCCTCCCCGCGTGCAGCCCTTCATCTAGTTGGTTTGTTCGTCCACTATCCATCCTAGGTGCCCACTGTTCATCCTACGTCAAGATCATCATCAGCATCAACATCATCATCAGCATCAACATCATCATCATCATCATCATCATCATCATCATCATCATCATCTTCATCATCATCAGCATCGACATCACCATCATCAACACCAACGTAGCCATCGTCATCATGGCCCGCTAAGGCTATGCATCGTCATCACCATCGACAACTAAATCGCCATCGGCACCAACACGACCGTTATCCTCATCCGTCTCATCACCATGATCCTCCTCCTCATCATCAGCATCATCATCATCATCGTCATCATCATCGCAGTCGTAAGCAACGGCATCGTCATCAGCATATGCATCATTAACACCATCATCCCCATCATCACCTACACTTACATCGGCACCAGCAGTTTCGAATTCGTCATGATGCTCATTGCCATCATCATCACCACCACCATCACCATCATCATCTTCATCATCATCATCGGCATCATCATCATCTTCATCATCGTCGTCATCACCAACAACAACAACATCAGCACCATCACGTTCAGTGCCCACCATCATCATCATCATCATCATCATCATCATCATCATCATCGTCATCACCATCATCAGCATCATCATCATCATCACCATCCTCATCCACAACCTCATGTTCACGGTCACCATCAGCATCATCAACATGATCATCAGCATCATCGTCATCATCATCATCATCGTCATCATCAGCATTATCAGCAACATCATCATACATCACCACGCACATCACAAGCATCCTCTCCACCCCGCTATCACAATCATAATCATCAGTAGCACCACCACCACCATCACGTCGAGAGATGTCCTTCCTCCGCTACCCTCTCGCCACCGCTTTCCCCCGCTCTGTCTGCTCCCCTCGGCGCCCCTGGCCGCGGCCAGCCGTGGCTGCCGCGGCGCCATCGGGGCGCGCAGCCGCCGCCCCGGAGGGGCGCCGCGCGCTGCAGGGCGCTGGAGGGGAGGGATCGGGCGAGGGAACATCCGAAGACGAGGTGCCCCGCGCTCAAAGAGGGGGGGAGGGAAGTGCCTACCGACCAGGCCACCCGAAGACCTCTTTGGGCCCTGTCGGTGCGCTCTTAAGGCTTCAAAAAGGCCTCGATCTACCCGCCCGTAAGAACCCAGGACAGCGGGAACCCAACCACCCGCCGCACTCGGCTAGAAACATCCACGAATTCCGGACGAAGTTGGAAGCCCTGGAACCCAAAATCGGCAGGCGCACATTAAGAGGAGGAGGAGGAGGAGGAGGAGGAGGAGGAGGAGGAGGAGGAGAAAAACGAGGAGGAGAATGAGGACGAGGAGGAGGAAGAGGAACGGGGAGTGAGGACGTGTAGGGTGATGACGAGGCGTGAGGAGGAGGACGACGACGACGAGGGGGAGATACAGGAGAACAATGCAGGAGGAATGAGAACTGGGGACAAGGAGGAATGATGAAGATAATGAGGAGCAAAAGTGATGATGAGGGGGAGGAAGGGTATAATGAGAAGGACGAGCAACAATATTGATGAAGTATGGGCAGGAAAAGAACTGAGTAGTGATGGGTACGAGAACGCGAAGGAAAGGAACGAGGATAACCAGGACTGGTAATCCAAGAGGCGGGAATTTGAGAGCGCCGCGGAAAAATAAGAAAATATAGGGCATGACGATGATGACGACCATGACGACGATGAAAACGGTAATGATGACGGCGGTGATGACCATGACGATGATGTGGTTGGGAATGTTGTTGATAATGGTGATGATGATGATGGTGATGGCAAAAATGACGGCGATAATGGGGTGGCTGATGACAACGATGGTGATGAGGATGCTGGTGGCGAAAATGATGGCACCATTGGCGACGGTGATGGTCGTGATGATGATGCAGAACGTGTTGAAGGGGATGATTGGATGATGATGATGGCGATGACAACACGGATGACGATGATGGTGATGATGATGCAAA